TGATTCCACGTAAAAGCGTCTCAAATACGATAGGTAAGTGTTGGATTTGCTGCTCCATGCACTACTACACACCTGTGCAATTTATAAGCAATATATTTTCTTCAACTTTCTAAACATTTCCATACATGTAACATGTAAGTAACGGTATAAATAACACTATGTATAGCAATGCACCACTATATCTGTCATACAGGGTGTTAAAATTGTTACACTTTTCGAGGGATGGTTAAATAAATAATGTCAATATTTTTACTAAAGAATATTCGATAATTTAAATCAGATTAGACAACAATACACAACAATATGCCATATTAATTACCCTTTCCTACACCACCAAATTTTACTTTTATTTAGAGAGCACAACTAAAACGATTTACTTAGTGCTTTTAATGCAAATGCATCCACCAACCAGTATGATGATCAGGTTCTCAGTTCAACTGTTACATACAACCGGCTTTAAGCCAAAAGAAATCTGACGAAATCGAATCTCATTCCGATGTCTTCGCCCCTTTTGGCCCAGCTGTGGGTCAGCAAGTTTTTGCCGCTAAAGGAACATGGTCAGGCCGCAGGCGCATTACGCTTAACGACTATACTTTTACACGTAAAACAGAAGTAGGTAGACGTTTACAAATAAAACAGAAGTATGTCGCAACTTTTGCTTTGTAAACTGTTGACAGTTTCAGTAATTTGGGTAAATTACGTAATGTGTTATGTCACTGTTTGTTAACAATGCATTATAATTGGCTGTGCAAAATTAATAACAGTCATGCATTATTATTTAAATAATCAACAACACGTGTATGACCTGTTTGCCAATAAAATAGTCAAAGTTTTTGTATTATTGCCAATAATTTCAAGTAACCTAAAGACACATATACTAGACCATTTATTTATTTATTTACGCAGTATTTAAAAAAAAAAATTTGTCCACTTTTTCGGATTCGATTAGTTTTGTTTAAAAAGTGTATTTACATTACACGAAAACACATACATTCTTAGACCCATCAATCATATATCGCCTGATAAATTTCCTCCAAATCGTTTCCAATAAATCATTCATAATCGATGCAAGACCGCTTCCTGCGATGCGCACGCGCCGATAATGTATCGATTGCATATTAATCGAGTCGCCGTCTCGGGAGATTAGTCTGTCTTCGTGTCGATTAATCGCACGTACCTTATTATTATTCTTACTTTATGGCTTTTCATCACGAGTATAGTGTCAATAGCATCGATCGATCCTTTTTATCATTGGTTTACACTATTATTTCAAAATATAAGAATGTAGGTACCTACATAACATTATGGGTATACATATTTTATCATTTAGGTAGGTACTTAAAACAGATATAAAATTTTAAACTATCGTTGATATCTTTTGTACTGGAATGCCAGAAAGGTGTTTTTATTTATCTCACATTCATGATTTTCAATACTTATATGAGCATTATACTACTTCCGCAGGCAATTTAATTATTTTTGAGTAGGTATGTAATGTTTTCTTTTTTCTTAGAAACTCACCTTAAGACCCGCCAATGCAAGATTCCAAAGTTCTGAAACAATAAAAGATTTATTAATTTTAGGAAAAAATACAATAATTACCTACCTCAGTAAGAAATTAAGCCATGTGATCAAAAAACTATTCATACAAGGTAGTTTGTAAGAAAATTTGTGTGAGATGCATTTATGTAGAGTAGCTCATCTTATTACATAAGTGACAGCGATTAACTATAAAACAATTTTGTGAAAGCTACAACAATCGTGCACCCGCTACGGTCATGCGCACGAACTGTCGCGAATCTGACGTACGACGACGCCTGCGCAGCCCGTGGAGTGCAGGGATAGTTAACCTTTTCACTTCCACGTAGTAAAAACAAATGAATGTGTTTACGTGTCCATGGAAATTGTCTAGGGTTCTCAATGAGGCTGCGGATAGCAATGTTTTGTTGAATATCGTGATTGTTAATCATTAAGATATCGACATTTATAAGGCTTTTCCATTTATCAATTTAAAACATTATGGCGTCTATCCAGGGCTACGGAGACTACTACCACAGAATAATATCTACTTCTTCTTCTTCTTGTCGTGTCGACAACAAACCTACACAGCGTCGGCCCAAAACTCCGCCACAAGAATGGCGTTGTCAGTAGCCTTCATTAAATCTCTACTAAATATCATTAAATATCGACTACTACGAGACTATTCCCACATCACGTTCCCACCGCTGCAACTCCTGTGTAGCCAGGATCTACAGCTTGACCGTGAATAAAAAAGCCAACCAGTGTGGGTCAAGTTAATCAATCAGTGAGACAGGGCGTAGGACATGATGGGTTAACGAGATAAAACAAGATTCTTATTTTATATTCCTAAAACATGTGCCAGAGTTGTTTTACCCCTACATTGTATAATGCAGAACTCGAGAAGTGATTTGCAATCCTCTCTCTGTAGTTATAATAGTCTTAGTTGGAACTTGCAGAAATAGTTTTCACCTCACCACAGATATCATAGAAAACTTGCCAGGCAGGTTACATTTATGTGAAACGTTTGAAACGTGACAATGTTTCATGGTTTCATAGTGAGGGACAGGGTTGTCTCTAAATTTAGTTAGTTAAATTAAGCTCCAAGGAGTATTGACGTATTTGTACATAAGTGCTTTATTCATAGACGTGAATTAAATTAGGATTAGTATTTATCTAATGTCGTAGCTTCTTAGAGTTAATTATGCCCTAATCAAAGTTGGAACCAACAAAAAAGTGTATCGTACATACAGGGTGGAAACGATAAGTGATCTCACTCGATTATTTCTAAACTAAACAAGATATCGAAAAACTGGTTACTGATCCTGAAAGTGCTTCACAAGCTCTTTCAAACGGTACCAATAATAGGTTACAGAATAAACTGGAACTATCCCAAAATTCAATGTTTCCAGCTTCCATACTAAATGTATGGCGATGACACAATATTAGAAGTGTAATTTATTTTTTGTTACATAATAAACTTAAAAAGTCCGTTAAATAAACTTGAAACTTGCATCTTATTTAAAATTATTTGTGAAATACATTACTTTTAGGTTTTCCTTGCTATAAAATTATCAAGAGATGAGTGCAATGACTGTGATAGTACAAAATGTATGGAAGACGGAAACATTGAATTTTAGGATAGATCCAGTTTATTCTGCAACTTGATATTAATACCGTTGGAAAGAGCTCGTGAAGCACTTTTAGGAACAGTAACCAGTTTTACGATATCTTGTGTAGTTTTTAAAATTATGTAACTTTACCAAATGTATGGAAGCTGGAAACATTGAATTTTCGGATAGTTACAGATTTATTATTCTGAAACCTATTATTAGCATCGTTTGAAAGAGCTCGTGAAGCACTTTCAGGATCAGTAACCAGTTTTTCGATATCTTATATAGTTTAGAAATAATCGGGTGAGATCACTTATCGTTTCCACCCTGTATACATAGAATTTAAATATGTATTTCACAATAACTTATTATTATTACCTAATTATCGACAAAAAGAAAAAATACATAAGACCATACAGCCATTTACAACGAGCACGGTTATGAACAAAATAATTCCACAGAACTTGTGTAACGCCTCCTTCGAAGTTACACCACAAACAACAAGTAAAAGATACTGAAGATTGTTTCAGCATGCAACGTTTGTGTACGTTTACTATGTTTTTCCGCACGCATAATGAGCAATTAGCGTTAAAATTAGCGTCAAATAATAATAAATTATTATTTTATTAGCAGATTAACGATTTCAGATTAACGTAAAAATGTTTGATAGAATTTTAAAACGTTAATTGTATTACATTAATAGACGTTTAGTATTTATTTTATTTTTGTTTATTTAATAAGACAACCAACAAGACATGTTACACTAAAACATTTTGGAAAATAAATTGAAAGACAAATACTTTTTTAATCAGTAAATACTGTCAACAAAGTTTGTCACATACATTTACATGTATACCTACAGCTTTAAAAAAAACAAAAGAATTAAAAAATGGAACACCATTTTGAAATCAAATGAAGCTCTATAATTCGTATTCCTTGTTCAAACTCCTGTGAGAAAACGCAAGCTATTATTGTTTTTAAAATTGATCGTGCTTGCTAGATTAGCAGCTGGCCAGTCACGTCGGGAGTCGGATCGTGATGCAGGGTGGATTAGACACAGCACTCGGCGGTTAGAAAATGGCCGGTGCGGGTTACCTTAATCGCGATTCGTTGTGGCTCGCTCGATCTACTCCATTTGAATTTGGAATGTAAGAGTCAGATGCAAAACCCGTTACAAAACAAACAAAATACATAGTTTCAGTATCATCTACCATATTATCGTGATATTATATTAACTTTAGAATGCTCCAAAATTTTATCATAATGAGTTGTTTACTTAAAGTCTTGAAGTCAAGTCAAATGTGAAAGCACTATAAAAGTGATACATCTTTCACACATTCTCTAATGCAATCCTTTTCCAATCAAGATTTAGCACCTTTTACTACAAAAGTGGTTTTGAATGGCGTTTTGATAATTTTTATCTAATTGATATTGAAATTACTATTAGTTAACAGCACAGTAATAGTGACTATCGTATCATGAATTTCTCTTCCGCTGTAACAGCATGTCGTTTAAAGCAAATATGAAAATTTTGTTNATATTTTCATTAATGATAATATGTTGTTTTACTGTGTTAAAAACACGTTTTTTTCTATTTAAACTCTAAAATGTACATAATAATTAGTGTACATTGAATTGACACAACAAACAATAGTTCATTCTTGTAAGTTGTACTTGATGAAATTTCATTTCATATTATTTATTAATAATTCAAAGCAAAAAAGGCTTATTACATATGAATTGTCAAAAAATGACAGCTGTCAGAATTCCGTCTAATTAAAAATCGGACTATACCTCCGCAGACAACTTCATTATTTTTATAGTAAGGTTTTCTTTTTTCATATTTCAATTTTATCGTAAGAAACTCACCTTAAGACCCGCCAATGCAAGATTCCAAAGTTCTGAAACAATAAAAGATTTATTAATTTTAGGAAACAATACAATAATTACCTACCTCAGTAACAAATTAAGCCAGGTGATCAAAAAACTATTCATACAAGGTTGTTTGTAAGAAAATTTGTATGAGATGCATTTATGTAGAGTAGCTCATCTTATTACATAAGTGACAGCGATTAACTATAAAACAATTTTGTGAAAGCTACAACAATCGTGCACCCGCCACGGTCATGCGCACGAACTGTCGCGAATCTGACGTACGACGGTCGACGCCTGCGCAGCCCGTGGAGTGCAGGGATAGTTAACCTTTTCACTTCCACGTAGTAAAAACAAATGATTGTGTTTACGTGTCCATGGAAAGATTGTCTAGGGGTCTCAATGATGCTGCGGTTTGCAATGTTTTGTTGAATACCGTGATTGTTAATTATTGGGATTTCGACATTTATAAAGCTTTTGCATTTATCAATTTAAAACACTATGGCGTCTATCCAGAGCCACGGAGACTACTACCACGGAATAATTTATCTACTTCTTCTTCTTGTCGTGTCGACAACAAACCTACACAGCGTCGGCCCAAAACTCCGCCACAAGAATGGCGTTGTCAGTAGCCTTCATTAAATCTCTAGGTACTAAATATCATTAAATAACTACTAGTTACTCCGAGACTATTCCCACCTCACGTTCCCACCGCTGCAACTCCTGTGTGGCCAGGATCTACAGCTTGACCGTGAATAAAAAACCCAACCAGTGAGGGTCAAGTTTGACCCACAGTGAGATAAGGCGTAATAAAACATGACGGGTTAACGAGACGAATTAAGATAAAATAAGATATATTCATAAAACGTGTGCCAGAGTTGTATTACCCCTACATTGTATAATGCAGAACTCGAGAAGTGATTTGCAATCCTCTCTCTGTAGTTATAATAGACTTAGTTGGAACTTGCAGAAACAGTTTTCACCTCACCACAGATGTCATAGAAAACTTGCCAGGCAGGTTACATTTATGTGAAACGTTTGAAACGTGACAATGTTTCATGGTTTCATAGTGAGGGACAGGGTTGTCTCTATTTAGTTAGTTAAAAAGAGTTACTTAAAATGTCCAAGGAGTATTGACGTATTTGTACATAAGTGCTTTATTCATAGACGTGAATTAAATTAGGATTAGTATTTATCTAATGTCGTAGCTTCTTAGAGTTAATTATGCCCTAATCAATGTTGGAACCAACAAAAAAGTGTATCGTACATATACATAGAATCTAAATATTTCACCATAACTTATTATGTATTACCTAATTATCGACAAAAAAAAATACATAAGACCATACAGCCATTTACAACGAGCACGATTATGAACAAAATAATTCCTCAGAACTTGTGTAACGCTTTCTTGGAAGTTACACCACAAACAACAAGTAAAAGATACTGAAGATTGTTTCGGCATGCAAAGTTTGTGTACGTTTAACTATGTTTTTCCGCACGCATAATGTGCAATTAGCGTTAAAATTAGCGTCAAATAATAATTAATTATTATTTTATTAGCAGATTAACGATTTCAGATTAACGTAAAAATGTTTGATAGAATTTTAAAACGTTAATTGTATTACATTAATAGACGTTTAGTATTTATTTTATTTTTATTTATTTAATAGGACAACCAACAAGGCATGTTACACTAAAACATTTTGGAAAATAAATTGAAAGACAAATATTTTTTTAATAAATACTGTCAACAAAGTTTGTCACAAAATACCTACAGCTTTAAAAAAAACAAAATAATTAAAAAATGGAACACCATTTTGAAATCAAATGAAGCTCTATAACTCGTATTCCTTGTTCAAACTCCTGTGAGAAAACGCAAGCTATTATTGTTTTTAAAATTGATCGTGCTTACGAGATTAGCAGCTGGCCAGTCACGTCGGGAGTCGGATCGTGATGCAGGGTGGATTAGACACAGCACTCGGCGGTTAGAAAATGGCCGGTGCGGGTTACCTTAATCGCGATTCGTTGTGGCTCGCTCGATCTACTCCATTTGAATTTAGAATGTAAGATGCATACAGTCAGATGCAAAACACGTTACAAAACAAACAAAATACATAGTTTCAGTATCAATCTACCATATTATCGTGATATTAAATTAACTTTAGAATGCTCCAAAATCTTATCATAATGAGTTGTTTACTTAAAGTCTTGAAGTCAAGCCAAATGTGAAAGCGTTTTATGACGAATCTTTCACACATTCTCTAATGCAATCCTTTTCCAATCAAGATTTAGCACTTTTTACTACAAAAGTGGTTTTAATGGCGTTTTGATAATTTTTATCTGATTGATATTTAAATTACTATTACCTAATTAACAGCACAATAATAGTGACTGTCGTATTATGAATTTCTCTTCCGCTGTAACAGCATGTCGTTTAAAGCAAATATGAAAATTTTGTTTGCATTACTACATCCACACGTGCATTGCGAGGCTCCAAATATTTGACCACATTGGTTACAATTAAAATAATACAGCTGTTAATCTAGGTCAAGATTACACGTTTTGTGCAACCGATTGCAGTGCAATGCCTGATATAAATCGCTTAGTTTTCGTTTTATAGCCACAAACTAGTTTTTTCCCGCGGCTTAGCCTGCATGAATGATCATCTGCCACAGGAAGACTTTAGCATGCACCTTGCCAAACTTGAAAAAACTGGGATAAAAACTATCCTTTGATTATCCCATGGTTACAAAGTAGAATAACTTCCCCCGCGTGAATATTAGTCTGTCACAGGAAGACTTTAGCATACACCTTTCCAAAGTTGCAAAAACTGGGATAAAAACTATCCAATGATCTCAAAGTAGAGATAGCTTCCCCTCGTGAATTTCAGCCTGTCACAGAAAAACTTTGGCATGATCCTTTCCCCCTTACAAAAAACTGGGATAAAAACTATCCTATTACTATCCCATGGTCTTAAACTAAAGAGAGCTTCATGTATTTCGATCTAACACCAGAAAGACTTTAGCATGCACCTTTCCCGTTACAAAAAACTGGGTGAAAACTATCCAAAGTTTTCCCTAGGGGCAAACTATCTCTATATTAAATTCCTACATCTAAATCGGTTTAGTTGCCTAAGCGTGAAACAGTAATAGACAGACAGACAGATATACTATCGCATGATGTTAATACGGATGATAAAGATCTAATGAACTTTTTCGCTTCATTCAGGTGTTGAAGCGTGCGAAATTATTTGAGTCTACATTATTATTTTAGCTCGCATTTTAGTGTTATGTTTCAATTCAGGTATTATTAAGTTAACAGTTAATAACTGACTATATTCATTAAAGTGCCGCACGAATTAATTCAGAAAATTAATCAAGCGTTAACTACCTAATATTAATATTCAAATTATGATCCGCGAATTCGTTCATAATATGGAAATGTCTATATAATTCTATATATTTCTAGTCTATATAATTTTAATACATATTTTAAAAAATATTGCTCCAATATTGCAGTAGGATGTAACATAGTTTTCAAGTAGTGTGCTATAAGATTTTTTTTTTGCAAATGGTTTACCACTCAATAGTTGAAATATCTTAGAAAAACATGAACTGGTAAGACCTTTCAACCAAATACCCATAAAATGTGGTTGTTTGTAACTTTGTAACAATCCAATCAACTGAAAGCCTTGAACATAATCAATTTATAACCGCATTACGTTAACTTGGTCTCACAACTTGATGGCGTCATAATAAGTAACCCTTGGTTTCTGAGATAGACAAATAATTTAACGCTTATTCAAGAAGGTAGAGCATAAAGCCTCTGACAGACGCGGACGTCGAGTTAGCATGACAGCAAGTCAGTCATAATACGTTACATACAATCATGCTCACGTCTATTTATAGCGACTAACAATTAATTGTATTTAATAATTATCATATACATATACATCGACTGTCTACCAACTGGTAACTAACAAATAGCTCATTACATTCTTCAAAAAGTCTTCTTTTAAGCCCATTTAGCTACTTAAAATTAAAAAATACATCTGTAAATTAAAACTTAAGTACGAGTAGGTAACTAATTTTGTTAATGACACCTTTTGACTAGCCTTACTAACTAAATAACACTGAGTTACACCACCTGAGTTTAACCGTAACTACTTATACGTAAACGATGTTTTCTGTATGGATTTTGACAGACTTTTGACGTTTGTACGGTTAAAATAAGATATAGCAACTCAGCCTAAGAATAATATGAATCGTAATAACAATTTGTTACGCCGCTGCTTTTCTTTACATAGGCAAATCCACATTTCCACGCATTTCAGAGCAAAATCTTTCCACCGATTTCCTAAGGCTACCCCATCTGATGATGGCCCGTGTTCTTAATTGTTATATTGCCGGTTGTTACAACCACGCAGCCCGCTGCATCAGTAATGTTCTTTAATGCTTGCATTAGTGCGGAACTGGTAGAGTTATTATTACATTTATGTTAAGTTGTTGTGCTGTAAGCTAGCACTGTTATTATTTTCAGGGTTTATAGCGCCTAATGAGACTGTAGATAATAGTAATTTGAGAGAGAATCTATCCTATCTACATAGTTTTATTCGTTATTAGTTAGCAAGACATAATTTTCACCGTCATATTGGATTACCAACGAGTAAGTTAGGTTAGTTCTGTTAACGCTGTAATTATTTTCAGGATTTATAGCGTTTAATGAGAGTGCCATAGTAGTTTGTTCAAATTGAAATATTCTAGAGATCTATCCTATAGACATCATTATTCGTTGTTAGTTAGCAAGATATGTTTTCACCGTCATATTGGATTACTAACGAGTAAGTTTGTTCTATTAACGCTGTTATTATTTTCAGGGTTTATAGCGCTTAATGAGAGTACCATAGTAGTTTGTTAAAATTGAAATATTCTAGAGATCTATCCTATAGACAGCCTTATTCGCTGTTAGTTAGCAAGATATGTTTTTCATCGTCATAATGGAATACCAACGAGTAGATAAGTGGTGG